AAATCCACGTTTTTTGGTCCTTGAAAAAAGTTATCTAAAAAAATCATTCGATTTTTTTTAAATCCAAGTTTTTTGGTCCTTGATAAAAGTTATTTTTAAAAACTCAAAATCATTCGATTTTATTTTACTGGTCCCTGAAAATGGTTATTTTTATAAAATCCCAGTTTCACGTTAAAAAAACATTCTTAAACATTATTCGTAACACTGTGCCCGCAACATTGTTTCAGTATCTCTGATACTATTTTTCAAAATTTACTAAATAACACGAAATATTTTCCTTTTACCGTGTCACAACGTCATTCCGTGTATTGTTGTTGTTGGTGAATTATAAACGACGAACATACGGCTGTTTGGTGCTGGGCTGGGTCGGGCTGTTGCCGGTGGTGACTTGGTGATTGGTGACTAAGACACAATGACAATTTGCGACTACGTAAATATCTTAAGACCCTTATAAGCTTTGACTTAAGGCAAAAATTACAAGAAATACTACGACGACAACAACAACAACAACCGCAACAACAACAATGTTAAATTGTGGAATCAACGTCAGCGCCGGACTGGTAGCGCAGCAAATGATAGTGAACGACGAATAAATCCACTTGTAACAACTTGAATATTCACTAATCGCTACAATAACCTTTTGCGCTTCTTTGTCTTGCAGTTCTTTATTTCGTTTAATTCTTTTAGAGTAGTTTTTGTTTTTTTTTCTTGTTTTAATTGACAATTGCAATTATGTCGATGAGTTGTAAGAGTGAAAGCATACATTCATTGAATACAAGGGAACAAGAAAATATATAAATATTTCGGAATTATAAATTAAAGACATTTGAGATGTTACAGACAGGGATGGGAAGTTGAAATCAAAGGTTAACATCTGGAAGGACTGAAGTTCTAAGAGTAGCGCTCTTTAAATGCCTTGAGGAAATATTTAAAAGAAATCCACATTTCTTATAGTCTGTGAAAAAATATTTGAAAAGAATCCATGTTTGTTAGAAGGTCTTTGAGGAAATATTAAAAAAATCCACGTTTTTTATATTTTAAAACGATCCTCGTTGTTTTATACCTTTACCATACTATGGAGGGTATATTAACTTTGTCATTCCGTTTGTAACTCCTCCAATATAAGGCTATGTTCGGTATTTTCAGATTTTAACCGAATTTGTAACAGATTTTATTTTTTTGAAAATTTCTAATTTCATTCCAAATGGTGGAGAGTATTTAAAGTTCGGTCCGGCCTGCTTTTTAACTTGTTAGTCTTTAAAATATATATTTTTTTAAATCCACATTTGTTTTAGTCTTTAAAAGGTATTTTTTAAATCCACGTTTGTTTTAGTCTTATTTTTCTTAATTCCTCGTTTGTTTTTGTCTTTAAGGAATACTTTTAAAAAATCCACTTTTAAGTGTTTTATAAAATAATTTTTAAAAAATCCACTTTTTGGTGTCTTAGAAAATAATTTTAAAAAATTACGTTTGTTTTGGTGTCTTAAAAAATATTTTTAAAATTTACGTTTGTTTTGGTTTTTGAAAAATATCAAAATCATCGTTTGTTTTGGTTTTCGAAAAATATTTTTAAAAAAATTCACGTTTGTTTTGGTCTTTGAAAAAAAATTTTAAAAACATTAGCGTTTGTTATAGTCCTTTAAAATATTTTTTTTAAAGAAATCCACGTTTCTGTTGGTCCTTGAAAATATATTTTTAAAAAATCCAAGTTCCTGTTGGTCCTAGAAAATATATTTTAAAAAAATCCAAGTTTCTGTTGGTCCTTGAAAAAAATATTTTTAAAAAATTCACGTTTCTGTTGGTCCTTGAAAAAAATATTTTTAAAATATCCACGTTTCTATTGGTCCTTGAAAAAAATATTTTAAAAAAAATCACGTTTATGTTGGTCCTTGAAAAAATAATTTTAAAAAATATCAACGTTTCTGTTGGTCCTTGAAAGAAATTTTTAAAAAATATCCACGGTTCTGTTGGTCCTTGAAAAAATATTTTTAAAAAATCCAAATTTGTTTTGGTCCTTAAAAAAATATTTTTAAAAAATCCAATTTTCTGCTGGTCCTTGAAAAAATATTTTTAAAAAATCTGTTGATCCTTGAAAAAATATTTTTAAAAAATTCACGTTTGTTATAGTCCTAGAAAAAATATTTTTAAAAAATCTGTTGATCCTTGAAAAAATATTTTTAAAAAATTCACGTTTGTTATAAAATTGAAAAAACATTTTTAAAAAATCTCTTGGTCCTTGAAAAAAATATTTTTAAAAAATCTGTTGATCCTTGAAAAAATATTTTCAAAAAATTCACGTTTGTTATAAAATTGAAAAAACATTTTTAAAAAATCTCTTGGTCCTTGAAAAAAATATTTTTAAAAAATCCACGTTTTCTTTTAGTCCTTTAAAAAATATTTTTAAAAAATCTGTTGATCCCTGAAAAAATATTTTTAAAAAATCTGTTGATCCTTGAAAAAATATTTTTGAAAAATTCACGTTTGTTATAAAATTGAAAAAACAAATCAACGTTTCTGTTGGTCCTTGAAAAAATATTTTAAAAAAAATCCACGTTTCTGTTGGTCCTTGAAAAAAATATTTTTAAAAAATCCACGTTTCTGTTGGTCTTTGAAAAAAATATTTTAAAAATCCACTTTTCTGTTGGTCCTTGAAAAAAATATTTTAAAAAAAATCCACGTTTCTGTTGGTCCTTGAAAAAAATATTTTTAAAAAATCCACGTTTCTGTTGGTCTTTGAAAAAAATATTTTTAAAAAATCCACTTTTCTTTTAAAAAATATCAACGTTTCTGTTGGTCCTTGAAAGAAATTTTTAAAAAATATCCACGGTTCTGTTGGTCCTTGAAAAAATATTTTTAAAAAATCCAAATTTGTTTTGGTCCTTAAAAAATATTTTTAAAAAATCCAATTTTCTGCTGGTCCTTGAAAAAATATTTTTAAAAAATCTGTTGATCCTTGAAAAAATATTTTTAAAAAATTCACGTTTGTTATAGTCCTAGAAAAAATATTTTTAAAAAATCTGTTGATCCTTGAAAAAATATTTTTAAAAAATTCACGTTTGTTATAAAATTGAAAAAACATTTTTAAAAAATCTCTTGGTCCTTGAAAAAAATATTTTTAAAAAATCTGTTGATCCTTGAAAAAATATTTTCAAAAAATTCACGTTTGTTATAAAATTGAAAAAACATTTTTAAAAAATCTCTTGGTCCTTGAAAAAAGTATTTTTAAAAAATCCACGTTTTCTTTTAGTCCTTTAAAAAATATTTTTAAAAAATCTGTTGATCCCTGAAAAAATATTTTTAAAAAATCTGTTGATCCTTGAAAAAATATTTTTGAAAAATTCACGTTTGTTATAAAATTGAAAAAACAAATCAACGTTTCTGTTGGTCCTTGAAAAAATATTTTAAAAAAAATCCACGTTTCTGTTGGTCCTTGAAAAAAATATTTTTAAAAAATCCACGTTTCTGTTGGTCTTTGAAAAAAATATTTTTAAAAAATCCACTTTTCTGTTGGTCCTTGAAAAAAATATTTTAAAAAAAATCCACGTTTCTGTTGGTCCTTGAAAAAAATATTTTTAAAAAATCCACGTTTCTGTTGGTCTTTGAAAAAAATATTTTTAAAAATCCACTTTTCTGTTGGTCCTTGAAAAAAATATTTAAAAAAAAATCCACGTTTCTGTTGGTCCTTGAAAAAAATATTTTTAAAAAATCCACGTTTCTGTTGGTCTTTGAAAAAAATATTTTTAAAAAATCCACTTTTCTGTTGGTCCTTGAAAAAATATTTTAAAAAAAATCCACGTTTCTGTTGGTCCTTGAAAAAAATATTTTTAAAAAATCCACGTTTCTGTTGGTCCTAAATAAATATTTTTCAAAAATCAACGTTTGTGTTGGTCCTTGAAAAAAATATTTTTAAAAAATCCACGTTTCTGTTGGTCTTTGAAAAAAATATTTTTCAAAAATCCATGTTTCTGTTGGTCCTAAATAAATATTTTTCAAAAATCAACGTTTGTGTTGGTCCTTGAAAAAAATATTTTTAAAAAATCCACGTTTCTGTTGGTCCATTAAAAAAATATTTTTAAAAAATCCACGTTCTGTTGATGCTTGAGAAAATATTTTTAAAAAATCCACGTTTCTGTTGGTCTTTGAAAAAATATTTTTAAAAAATCCACGTTTCTGTTGGTCCTTGAAAAAAAAATTAAAAAAATTCAAAATAACTGGATTTAAAAAAATTCGCGTTTGTTGGCTACTCCTTAAAAAATTTATTTTAAAAAATCCAAGTATTTTGGCCAGTCTTTAAAAAAATATTTTAATAAAAACCACTTTTGTTGGCTAGTTCTTAAAAAAAAAATCCACGTTTGTTGGCTAGTTCTTAAAAAAAAATAAAAAAAAATCCACGTTTGTTGGTTAGTCCTTAAATTTTTTTTTGTAAAATCGACGTTTGTTACAGTCCTTGAAGAAATATTTTTAAAAAATCCAATTTTGTTATAGTCCTTGAAAAAAATATTTTAAAAAAATCCACTTTTGTATGGTCGTTGAAAAAATAATTTTAAAAATCCACGTTTGTTATAGTCCTTGAAAAAATATTTAAAAAAAACCACTTTTGTTATGGTCGTTGAAAAAATATTAAAAAAAACCACGCTTGATGGCTGGTTCTTAAAAATATCAAAAATATGTTTTAAAAAAATTCGTATTTGTTAAATATGTTTGAAAAAAAAAAAAATACTTTTTAAAAAATCTATAGAGGACCTCCCAAAGGATCACTTTTTATTGGTAGTTAATGTAGTAATAAATTTATATCAGGTACCCCGTATCGTATACTTTATGTCATGACTTATACGCTGCCGATTCTTTTTTTATGATATTTGATTAAAAATTTCCAATTTATTGTTTTCTCATCCTCATTTTTTAAATATTTCCCCCACCACGTACATATATTCTCCTTGGACAACTGCATAATCTGACTTTATTTAACCCATTTTTCTTTCTTCTCTGTTATATTGCAGGTGTTCTGTATATTTGTTTCCTGGTGAAACCTATGCAAGATTCCCCAAAAGATTTTCACAAGAATTGAGAGTGGTGTGGCTACGAAAAGAAAGATAAAGCAGCAATAACCTAAAAACCAAAAACAGAGGAAAAAAATAAAACCAGAAAAAAAGGAAATCGAAAAGCAATGATTTTGAGAAAATAAAAGCAGGCTAAGCCAGCAGGAAGCGTACGAGTGAAATAAATACTAGAGTGGCAGAGAAAAAAGTAGACGAACAGAGAACAAGGAAAAGGAAGCTACTAAAATCCTCCATCCACCAAAAAACAAACTCCCCGAAAACGAAGTTATTGCAAAATAAAAAAAACGGAACGTGCTTCTCTGGCTTGGTGCATTACCGAGTTTAGAAAAAAAAAACATTAGGGAGTTGCCAAAGTGGAGGAAGCAGTACTGGCTTTGAGTGTAATTACATTAACCATTCCCTCACTCCCCACCACCACCAACACTACCACCTTTTTCCGTGAAGAACAACAAAAGGGACCCTAGGAAGTTTCTTCCATTTGTTGGGCATTGTAATTTGAAGTTTTGAAGAATACAACAAAAATTCACTTAATTGCTGGTTAAACAACACGTTCCAACAACGAGGGTGAAGTGTTAGGTCGAGCGAGCTGTGTGCAACGAATCGTTCTATTTTGTTCATAATTATTGGAAAGGCTTTGCAAAGGGCCGCCACAGAAGGGGGAAGCCTACAACGCAACGACTACAACTAAATACGGGCAAAACGCTACTGTTGCTGCCGCTGTTAGTGGATTATCAACGACCAACAACAACAACAACATCAACAACTACAACATTAACGTCATAACAACACAACCAACATTGCAACAACAACGAACCTTGTTAGAAACATCCACTGGTAACAATTTCGAAGCGGTGCCACACAACCACACGTGTCCAGAGCTTTTGTTATATCAGGAACAGTCAAGGGATAACTTCACAACCCGCAATCCATTATCAACAGCGGCAGCAACGGCAGCAGCTTCAGCCACAGCCACAGCCCCAACCCCAGCCAATTCCACCACCTCCGCCAACACAAGTAAAGCAGTAGCAGCAGCCGCAGCAACAACTGCCACAGCGCCGCCGAAAAGCTCACGCAGCCGTAGCCATAAACAACGCAGTAACAGCACCAGCATCACCACGAATCCTCACGGCAAAAGCGGTTCATCGACAGCGGCAGGCCATTCGGGCACTGCCACGAACATCAAACAGAGCGCCAGTCGCAACAGCAATATACGCAGCTCATCGTCGAACAGCACAATGGCCTCGTCGAATCACAGAGGCGGGGGCGGCGGCGGCGGAGGGGGCGGCACAGGTGGCGGTGGCGGTCATGGTCATGCCGGTTCCGGTCTACAAATCGGCTCAGCGTGGTTTCAGCGCAAAATCAATCTCAGACCCCAGCATCGAGGTGTTCATTTAGTGACGGAGGAGATACTCCGACAGATGCCAGAATTATCACAGTTTTCGGTGGGATTATGTCATGTGCAAAGTGAGTAGTGGCAATTTTTGTATAAATATTTTTGTTTTTTTTTTTTTTTTTTTTTTTTTTTTGGTATTTACATAGGATTGGAAATTGAAAATGGCATTAAATTTTTCCATTGACATTGTTTGAAAGCAAAAAAAAAAAAAATGAAAGAAAAGAAAAGAAAAGAGAACAAGACAAAGCATAGCTTTTAAAGATATTTTCCTTTTGGTTATAGACATATTGTCATTTTTGAAGGATTTTTATTGTGGCATTAATGTTTGTGATTTTGGGCAGTGACGTGGGAAATGTGAGTTTCTAGGGAGGGGTCATTTTTACTCGGCGAGGAGGAAGCTATGAGTTAAAAACATTTGTTAAAATTTTAAATTCTTTGGAGGGCAAAAAAGGTTTTATTTTATTATGGCATTTATGATTGTGATTTTGGCCAGCGGTGTGGATAATGTGAGATTTCGGAGAGGTGTCATTTTTACTGAGCGACGAGGAAGCTATGAGTATGAATTTTTTAAATTTCAAAGCTTTTGAGGGTAAAAATGATGGAGTTAGTATATTTTCAGGGGAGGTTTTCTAAAGAGGGAATTTTTCTAACAATGTCAACAAAATTTGAAAGGTCTCTTGGATGTAAAAGGAGACCTCTACCACCCTTCATATCAAGGCCATACGCCATTGCTTTTCTCAAGCTAATCAGAAGCGGTGAGGGTGGAGGGGTGAACTGCAATTTCTGGCATGATAAAATGTATTCTTAATGAAGGCTGTTGCCTCTTCCGTATATCGTTTTGTATCTCAATCCTTTGTCTACAATGTGAGAATTAATTTCTTAAGAATGAAATGTTGGTTTCCGTGATGCTATTTTCTTTGGTTGATTGAAAAATGTAGAGATTTCTTTCTGACATCAGACATCGGGACATCAGGTTTGACCCAATTCAATATTGTTACGAATATAACTTTAGATTTAAGTTAATTTAGATGAATTCCGTTAATTTATGAATTTGAATTGTAACGTAAATTTCTACTACGCAGTTTATTTGAATAACTTCACAACAACAACTACTGTATAGATTTTTCTACATCCTTCCATTTCCTCTTTCATTTTCTATTTTGTTGCTGACGTACAATTCTTGTTAAACGTCATCATTGATGATCGCTTAATTCCTCTTTCTTTGTTACCCCCTCGCCTGTGTATGTGTTGTTGTTATTGTTCACTCAATGTAAGTTTGTATGTGTTGTTGTTATTGTTCACTCACTGTAAGTTTGTATGTGTTCGTTGCATTGGTAGATTGTTCATAATCTAGGCGTTACCAGATCGTCTAGAAACTTCTGTAGCGACAGGCGAGGCTCATATAAATAGGGGAAATGGAAAGGCAGTTAGTCAGTTGTGAATGAGATCGCGAATTGAAACCGTCGAGTAAAGTGCAAATAAAATCATTGTAATAATCGTAATCCGAAAGAACCCGCGTTTTATTTGGTACGAGCTGTATCGGGAAATAAAACAACGTCTACACGGGATTAAGTAAAATCCAAGAATCGTAACAATTGGTGTCGGAAGTGAGATTACGATAATACTACGATGAAGTTTAAGGATCTACGAGTGGAAGACTTGAAGAAGGAACTTAATAAATTGGAATTGTCCTCTACTGGCAACAAGGCTGAACTACAAAAACGTCTGTTGGATGAGTTCGAGCGCCGTGGTATGAACATCGACACATATGAGTTTGACAGTAAGGATGAAGTGGATTTATCGGAAATGGGCGAATCCAACGGTGGGGAAGTCTCGTCAGTAGCTGCCAGGGGTGACGATTTCAGAGAAATGCTAGCCAAAATGTTTGAGGAAAATTTCAGAAGAGTCGAAGAGAATTCCAGGAAGTTAGAAGAAAACTCGAGACGAATGTTCGAAGAAAATTCGAGAATAACGAACGAGAAACTCGAGTACATTACAGAAGTTATTGGAAGGAGAGTGGAAACCGTGGAGGTCCAAATTAAAGAGTTGGATAAGAAAGTGCAGTCGGTTGACGAGAAATTTCTGTCCCACGACCATAGGGTTACAAATCTGGAGAAGAAAATTTCGGAACTGGAAATCAAAGGTGGTCCGGTGCGAGTTCCTGATAACACACTAAAAATCAAACCTCCTGTATTCGACGGCTCTACGTCATTCAATGTTTTCAAGTTACAGTTCGAGACAGTGGCTTCTAGAAATTCGTGGAACGACAGCGACAAAGCGGTTGCACTACTTCTGGCATTGAAGGGCAGTGCTGCTGATGTTATACAGAGTATTCCTGTCGCTTCTAGAAACAACTATGAAGATGTTATTGCTGCACTGGAACGTAAGTACGGTGGCGAACATAAACGAAACATCTACCTTATGGAATTAAGGGGAAGAGTACAGAGGGCAAACGAGACGTTACAAGACTTTGCAGCTGAGGTGGAACGTTTGGTGCTAATGACGTATCCAGGAGAGGATCACCCATTGCTGGACCGTATGAAAATCGAAACCTTTGTGAATGGCATACGTGACCCTGAGATTAAGTATGCAACATATGCGTCACCAAAAGCATCATTTTCCGAAACTGTGTCGTTTGCCCTTGCCCAAGAGACGGCAAGAATAGTTGTTAAGCCCCAGACCCACAAGATTCGCCAACTGGAGACCGAAGGTTGCGAACCCAAATCTCTCGTTAACTCGATCGAAGACGCCATGAGGCGGGTAATAGAAGAGACAAAGTTAGTTGGGATGACTAAGCCCAGGGTTAGATGCTACAACTGCGATAAAGCAGGTCATATTGCGCGCGAATGCAGAGCTAAGCGCAAACGATCCAGGTCATCGTCACCACCTCCAACGAAAGATGGTAGAAGAATGGCCCAACAGTCCACCAATGAGTCACAGTTAAACTAAATCGAGCCAGTCCAGCGGGGCATGAACTGGCTCCCATCGACGATGGCCCCACAATCTCCATAGCAATAGTACAACAGGAAAGTCACAACCTAACAACTGGGTACATCAATGGTGATAAGCGAGTTCTGACGTTAGATACTGGCGCATCAAAGTCCATCGTAAGATCAGATCTGGTAAAGGGTAAAATAACGCAACTTAATGGAGTCAGACTGCGCACAGCAACGGGGGAGCCCGCGGCAGTACACGGTAAGATTACCCTGAGACTAACTATTGCCAATAAATCGGAGAATTACGAGTTTATAGTTGCCGATATCGTAGACGAAGTGATAATAGGCGCAGATTTTATGATTGCCTTTGGTATCAATCTGGATATGAAAGAACGTGTGATGACCTGGTCTAACGTCGAAATTCCGTTAAACGTGGGCTACGATGAAAGTACACCCATTAGACGTCTGACCACGGACCATCCAGAGATAATACCGCCCTGTGCCGAAGCAATAATATGGGTACCAATGAATGGAGATTGTGGAGCCGAGAAGTTGTGGGTGGTGGAACCAGCAGAAAACAGAAACAGTAACATCCTAATAGCGAATGCCCTGGTGAAAAACAACAAGGACGGATTAATTCCTGTTAGAGTTTTGAACCTGTCAAACAAGCAAGAGCAAATTTGCCAATTTTCCGATGTTGGACAATGCACACCAGCTGAAGCTGTAGTTAATTTGGAAACTAACACCGAAAAGCCAGCTGCCATGGAGAAGAAGCACCTCGACGGCTACATAAAAGAGTGGACACACCAATTATCACCTTCCGAGAGGAACAAGGCTAAGCAGCTATTATGGAAATATGCCTCTACCTTTGCGTTGACAAAAGAGCACCAAGGAAGAACATCAGTGGTGAAGCATGAAATCAATACAGCAGACGCGAGACCCATTAAACAGCCTCCAAGAAGTGTTCCCCTGGCAAAAAGAGACGAGGTTCAGAAGCTGATAAGTGAAATGGAAAAGAGTGGTGTAATAGAACCATCGTCAAGTCCATGGTGCTCCCCAGTGGTCTTGGTCAAGAAGAAAGACGGAAGCACCCGATTTTGTGTGGACTACAGAAAGTTGAATGATGTCACCAAGAAAGACAGCTATCCGCTCCCAAGAATCGACGACACATTGGACACATTAGCCGTGACGTCATGGTTCTCCACCCTCGACCTGCAGAGTGGGTACTGGCAAGTAGAGATCGCCGAGAAAGATAAGGAGAAAACAGCGTTTGGCGTAAATGGGGGTCTCTGGCAGTTCAATGTCATGCCATTCGGACTCTGCAACGCCCCGGCTACATTTGAAAGGCTGATGGAGCGTGTGTTAAAAGGGCTGCAGTGGAAATCGTGCCTCATATACCTGGATGACATCATAGTCATGGGACGCAACTTCGACGAACACATCAAGAACTTAAAGGATGTTCTACAGCAGCTTTCGTCTTCAGGCCTCAAGCTGAACCCAAAGAAGTGCAGTCTCTTCCAACGAGAGGTGAAGTTCCTGGGGCACCACGTGACGCCGGAGGGCATATCGACGGATAAGGAGAAAATTCAAGCCGTCAGAGATTGGCCGCAGCCCCGAAATCTCCATGAGCTGCGAAGCTTTCTGGGTCTCTGCACATACTACCGTCGATTTGTCCAAAATTTTGCCAACATCGCCGCCTGTCTACACCGTTTGACGCAAAAAGGCCAGAGGTTTCAGTGGGGCAACGACCAGGAGGAGGCATTCAGAAAGCTCAAAGACATGCTATGCAGAGCCCCCATTTTGGCATACCCTATACCTGGCGGCAAGTTTGTCCTGGACACAGACGCAAGTGAGTGCGGCATCGGTGGCGTCCTTTCCCAGGAAATCGACGGACAGGAAAAAGTCATCGGGTACTACAGCCGGACATTGTCGAAACCTGAGAGGAATTACTGTGTGACGAGGAGAGAGCTGCTTGCTGTCCTTGAGTGCGTTAAACACTTCCACAAATACCTATATGGCCAGCATTTCCTGCTGAGGACCGACCACGCTGCTCTCCAATGGTTGCTGCAGTTTAAGAATCCGGAAGGTCAACTAGCCCGTTGGATCGAGAGGCTCCAGAGTTATGACTTTAGAAT